TTCCCGAGCCTCTGCCCCCACCACGACTGGCGCAGCTTCCCAGACAGAGCTGCGGTGGGAACACGCTGCCAGCCAGGTGTCAGGCTGCAGGCTGTGCCCGGCTCTTACGCCAGTAGCGGTCGGCAGCAGTGAGCACACCTGTGGGAGCTGCGCCCGGGTAGAGGAACTCCTCCGCTTAGTGGCAGAGCTCCATGAGGAGGGGAGTAGGTTGAGGAGTATCAGGGAGCGTGAGAGAGAGAGAGAGTACTGGAATCGCACCCTGCCTTCCCTGAGACAGGCCCAACAGGCAGACAGGACGCATGAGTCCTGGTTGAGTCACCATCCCTGGAAGTATTTAAAAGACGGGTAGATGAGGCGCTTAGGGACATGGTTTAGTGGGCATGGTGGTGTTGGGTTGATGGTTGGACTCAATGATCTTAGAGGTCTTTTCCAACCTTAATGATTCTATGATTCTATGACAGAGAAATGTAGTCAGAGATACAAAATGATCATTGTTTCTAGTATTCCTTGCCCTCTACCACAATTTCATTCGAATCTCTTTTGCATTTAGGATTACAAGACCATCAGTGCTGATGGCAGGAAGGTTTGTTTTACTTTCGTACATGCAGCAGACTTGGAAGTAAAAAATCTACTTTCTGAAGAAGACAACACAGCACAGTTGCAATTGGTGTCAATCAACACAGACAGCACATATTACCTTGGTTTGAATGGAGTTCAGAGCATCCACAACCTTCTGTATTTCAGGCCTGGCATTTCCTACCTGTGACACAAAACATATGAAAAGAAAATAACCATGCACTCTCATGGTACCTTTAGTTTTCTGTTACAGTTCTCAAGGAAACATTTTATAGTACATTCTCCCGGCACCATTTCATTACATAACAGGAGTATTGTAGCAAAAGTGACTGGAACTGTCTCTGTAAAATCATGCCAGTTGACAGTCAGCACAAATGGGTCAGCCAAGGACACTGGACAGAATAAAGTTAGTTTCATTTACAGTGTGTGGATTTATTTTTGGACTTGAGCTGTTCTTTTTTCATAGAAGTCACCTTCCTAATAAAATACAGTGAAGCCAGGAGAGCACACTGCTGGGGCACAGTCACCTTCTCCAACTAGCTGTGAAGACAATTCAACTAAGACAAAATGCTCTGGACATTTAACAATGACAGGAAAATAGCTGTTATTTAGGCTGGTCCTACTGCAGATTCATACACACATAACTTTTGGTCAGTTATGCATATCACCTTTCACTGATAAGAGTTATGGCAGTGTCACTGTTGTGATGAAGGCAAGTATGCTGCTAGAGGGCTGCCACAGTGATGGATGGCAGTCATACTCCATGGCTGGTACAATTTTTATATGTAGAGAAAGACAATTTCTCTACAATTGTACAATTTGGAGCACCACCTAGTTTGCTATGGGTTTATGCAGTATAGCATAATGCTGCCTTCTTCTATATCTTTGGCTTTTAGGTCCCCCTGCAACACAATGAACATACTGGACTCATCCAAATAATACAAAAGGAAAAGTTTAACTAACCTTCATGAAGATGCCTACCACAGCCAAACCATCAGGATGCTTCACGGCTTCAGCAAATTTACCATATTTTGTATTCCAGTGAACAATATGGAGCTAGGAGCAAGAAGCAAGAAAACAAGAAGCACTATGAAGATGATATTCCATCCACAGTATTTTACAAATGAGGATGCAGGGAAGTAAGTTATTAAACATTAAGAGCAGATGGTGTTTTACTGCTGAGATTTAAAAACTTTTGTGTACAGTTAAGAATTTGTTGAATCATTCATCTACTTCAAGTTTCATTTATGCAAAGAGATTTCTGTCATGCATTTTATTTTGCTTCTCACTCTTATTCCCAGATGAGTTTTAAATACAAACTGTGGCTGTATCATTCTGCTTTTAGTCCAGTGTAACTCCTGTTATCTTCAGCATGAGTTTTTCCTGCTTGCAGCCTGCAGGATTTGGATATAGTATTTTAATGCTATATATCCTGGAGTTCTTATCAATACTGAAAGACATGATTGTCAGTGTCAGGAGAAGAGACATTAACTACAGATCTGACCTGCAATCTAGAGAGTTTTTTAAAAACAGTCCTGTCCTTTTCTGGAAAGCCTTTGAAAAGGATATGAAATTAATCTCCAGGTCTCATTAGCCAGGATGTTGCTTTCTCTTTGATTTCCAAGTTATTTCTAGTGAAAGTACCTCTGGCTGTTTCCCCATATCTGCAAGTCAAGTTGAGCAAGTAATGATGGTACTGTGAATAGATGTAAGGCACTGGCAAGTTTCTCAGATAAGACAAAAGCTACTTCTATATCATGAAAAAGCGGCAGAGCCAAGGAATTTGTGGGGCCATTTCTTTTATCCATCAATGCAAATCACAGGTATGTTCAGTCAATGTGCATTTATGAAAGGGTTTTAAAAAAAAGTCTGTCACAGCACCCAGAGGCAGGTTTCTAAACAGGGGACACGGAAAGATGGGATGCAAGGCACTAAAGTCACTCCATTTCTGTAATGAGATTGTAATACAGAGTCTTAAGTGGTCCAAGGAACATCTGGAGTCTTAAGGATATTATAAAGAGTTCCTGCATGGTCTCACTTTGCTACCTGGCCTCTTCACAGCTCCCCTTGCTTCTTTGCTACCAAAAGATGAAAGGGTCTGCCTCAAAATTATTCTGTTGTTTATATAAATGTCTCTGAAGCCAGGAAAAGGGGATGTGTGCATACAGAGGTGCTGAAATTCTATTTCTTCATAATTTTCAAGAGTCACCAAGAAAGCAGGGGAAAACCAGGGATAATTAATGTGGGTTTTTCTGCTTCTGTAGTCTCTTTGACGTGAAGTAGTGGAGAAAAAAAAAAATTACAAGAGTCCGCCAGTTCTAATCTCTGCTCTTGCAAGGAGTAGGTCCTGGCGTGGCATTGTACCAAAATCTTGTATGGTAACCTCCACAATCTCTACAGATCTTCATAGGGCAAGAGAAGCTGCTACTGTGGTGGAATATTAAAAAAACATAAAATACTCATTATACACAAAAGACTGGAGAAGGTAAAGCATGTCCTACCTCTGCATCATACTTCACACCATCCACAGTGTGCTCAGACCCTTGGCCCTCACAGGATCCCCAGTGAATGTGAAACTGTGCCAGCCTGTAGACTCCATCCAGCGCTCCTCCTTGCAGCACTGCAAAGCAAAGAGCCTCCATTAGCATCTCCCATAACCTTTGCACTTCAAACTGGAACGTCCATCTCAAATCTTCCAAGTGAATTACAGTTCATTGCTCTGCATGCTGCCATGCTACTACAGATCACCCTCAATGGTACATTGCTGCAATACGCCAAAATCAATAATAAACATATAAAACCATAAGTGACTTTACAGTGAGTGTCTCATCAGCAATTTAACAGGCATGCTCGTATTACAGGTGACGAGGGGAGAGCTAAGGATGTAACTTTTCTGTCACCAAATAAATAAAAAAATGCCAAGAATAGCCTTTGTAAGAGGCCCATATAGAGTTATTCTACGAAAGTACACTTGAAGACCAAATTATCTTTCACTTACTAATATGTACTCTGTCCCTTCATTTTAGACACTTTATCCATTTAGGCCTTAATCCTGCAAATCCTCTGGTGGATTGGATTGAGTAGTTTGGAAACAAAAGCATTTTAAACCTAAACACCGGTTAGCCATGAGCTGCAGCAAGGTAAAGCACTAGGCACAGTGCAAGGCATTGCAGAGATGTGGATTCAAATCTCTTGTCCCTCCCATCCTTTACTCCTCAAGAATGAGTTTAAAAAATCGTGGTGAAAATAGCAATGCCTGCAGAGGCAGATTTTTTTTGAAATATGGATTGGAAAGGAGGCGTTTACTTATGCTCTCCACTATCTGACATTACTCCTGCTATGGGACTGCTGTAAGTGGAGTGCCCAGCCACATTTTCAATTATACAGGAGCAAGTTCCCCTGAGGTCCCTTATTCTGCTTGTTAGTTTTAACGTTGTACTTAAACTGTGACCAATCACCATTATGATATGCAGGAACAAGCCCTATTACTGCAAAAAGCTCAAGGCACAGACAATGTCTCCTCCATTGCAGCATAAGCACAGAACAATAACAAATAGTTCTATTAAATAGAGCTATTTATCTAAGTCATTAGAGCAAGGTTTCACATTGGTTTGTGGTTTCAGGTTTGTTTTTTGGTTTTTTTTTTTTTTTCCTAAGTGTCTCAAATTCACAATTAAATCTTTAAGACGCTAATATTTAAAAATGAAAAATATTTTAAAAAGTAATTTAAAGTGTTATATATCTTAGAGATCAATTTCTCTATATATCTATAATAAAGTGACAGAAGAGTGTTGACATCAGATATTACATGTAAGTGTGCTCTGTGTATGTGCCACAAACAAAATGGTTCTGTGGAGTAAAGATGCTTTCCTCTCAGTCTGCAATTAGTCTATCACAATAGACTAATATCACTATCACAATACGTGCATGTGTGAAAATACACATCAAATGCAGATAGGAAAAGGTCACTGTCTGTTCAGGTTTGAATAATTCTGATTATATGCAAGCATGGACAACAACAGCCGTGGATACTTGGCAATGGCGTGAGAAGGATTTGCCTAAAAACCTGGAATATATGAAAATTAAATATAAAACACATTCATTTCCGCTGGTGTGCCTACACATGCAAAATTTGGGTTCAGTGGACAAATTTAGCATTTGCCTGGGGCTCCTTTGGTAAATATATATAGAAGTCTCCCAACATGTATTTCTATTTGAGGAAATGTGAATATATGTGCCACTGCAGCCTTCGTAATTTCTGATACTGTAGCCAACACTGAACAGCCAACAGACCAAGACTTGCCCTACCTATTGCCAAACTATGTGATACGAAGAAGAATGGCTACTTAAAGTAATTAAATAGGAACATAACTTATTTTACTTTTATGTTTCTGCATATGCTAGTTGCCAAGAAGCGTAACTGTTTCAAGCACAGGACTACAAATCGGAATACTTTTTTTCAGAACGGCGACTGTGAATGTGCATCAGTTCCTTTTGAAAAGAAGTAATTGGTTGCTATGTCTTTACAGATGCAAAATCATTTAATCCACACAATATCATGTTTCATTTAAAAATGATGCCATGGAGTTGCAATGTTTCAGTTTCAGTTCCTTTGGCTAATGGACTTGCTGCTTGTTGCAGGTACAAATGGACTGAGGTTCCACCATTCCTCAACCTCAGAAAGCACTAGCGCAGCACAGGTTCATCTGCCATTATTAATCAATGGAAAGCATGCTGAAAAGCAGAACCATGCAATCTTCTTAAATCCATTTGCAGTGTTATTTCGCTACACAGTTTGCTATAGTCTCGTAAAACTCAAAAGATGCAGAAAAGTCTCTTTGCAGTTTTTGCTTACTTTTCGCATTCTGTGGTTCTCAAATCCAGCACTAGCTTATTTTGACTCACAGCAGAGCATTCAAAGAAAGTAATAATTAGATTAGTGTAAATGGCTTAATTACAGAACAGCTCCTCTTGTTCTAGCCTACATTAAGCAGTTATTTTTTAATACTTTTCAATACTTTCCAAAGAAGTAAAATTCAAAATTAAACTTAAAAGGCAAAGTAGAAATGTTAGAGCTTCATTTTTTTCCAGCACAGTGTTTTATTTAAACCATGAATAAATGCTACCAGCTTTTGCAAAGTAAAAGTTCATCAAGAATCAGAACAACATTCACACCGGGAACCTCCCTGTCCCGTGTGACATGAACATCGATTCAGGCCACATTGATGACAGAAGTTCAGCCTTTTCGTCCCCTTTTTTTGATGGATAGGGAAATTCTGATCGATATTTGAGCATCTCAGCATTAGCTCCCTTCCTTTTGAAATTAGTGTTAGTGTACCCCATCCTGGAAATACATATGTAGCTGTGCTCCCTTTTGTTACATAGCACAGTTTCAGATGCAAGGTGAAGACAGCACCAGCCAACCTGGAAAACACATTATTTTCTTACAGGTTCATCCTACTCAACCCAACCTACGTCAGTAACCTGGTCTCCATAGATGTGTAACAGCCCAAGAGGCGACAGCTTGAAAACGAAACTTTTTTTTCTATTTGGCAGCTATTTAAAATGTTACAGTGAGACAAATTTGGAGCTACTTTGCTTAGATTAAGAAATGGTAACTGTTTTCAACCTTCTACTCTTTACTGGAGAAGTTATACTAGTAACATCCAGTAATTATATTGCACTGTTATTATATGATCTCATAATGTTTGCTGAATTAGGTGAACAAGTGAATAAGTACTATTAGCAGTGCTAATTTGGAAAGTCAAATAACCACAGGAACTGTTCCATTTATGTCTGTGGGATTTCTTGGATAAAGAAAGTGAACTCAATTTGTCTCCATTACACTTTCTTAGGATATTTGGAAACACACAGAAATCAAAGGGCATTTTACTGCATCTGGGACAGCTGTTTACTGAGGCCACACAACTTCACTGTTCTATGCAAACGCGAGTCACCCATGTAGAACAGAACAGCTTTGTAAAAAATACTGTGGACCAGTTCATACCTTTTTTCAGAAAGTGGCAGCATCCACATCTGTGAATTTTTGCAGGAATACTGTGGAATTACTGTTATTTAGCTACCTTCTATAGTATGTTCTCTCTATACAGAGCAGGAGACTAACAAATCTCATCAAGGCAATAAACCTGTCAAAGAAATAATTGAAATGGCTGAACTACAAGATCGTTTCACGAGTTACAATGAATTCCTTCCTGTCATACAAACTAGTGTGGTAAGAAAAATACTACTCTAAAGTTTGTTACTATGAGAACATGTTCTTCAAATGGAAATCACTGCCAGCAAAGCTCCTTCCAGTAGCTGAAATAACGGGTCCACTACAGCACAATGGATGTCCAGAGCTCCAAACTTAGGAAATTTAGTTCTAATTGAGATTCCACCAAACAAAAACCTAGCAGCAGGACATTTCAAGCATCTACCTTTGATGGCTGCCCTCTTGCACACACATTTCTTTGGCATAAAGAAAGCCATGATTTTGTATCAGCCTACAGTAGATGTGCACGTGTGTATGATGTTGTAGGTATGTGTTTATGTAAATATATGCATAGCATATACATTAATATTGTTTTGTAAGCTTTTGTGTATACACAGACATCTGTATGATAGAAAACAGGCCTTGAGGAGACAAAGTAGATGAAGCATTACTTGAGAAAAGAAAAAAAAAAATCTTGAGCACCACGCACTATTAATAGGCAGAAAAAAGGCTTTTATCAGGATGCTCAGGGATTAGCCTTGTGTTCTTATGCAAGGATAGGCTTTCCTGTCTGACAGACTGGAGAGTTCAGTTAGGGTGAGCTGTCACTTCTGTGAAACGTGGAGTACAGAGCATCACATTTTGTGAGATGTTTCCTTCTTCATGTTATCTCTTTCAGACATTCCTCCTAGGACGGTGTATCATGACAAGCAAGAGAGCAAGACAGCACGCAAACATCTGACTGTAGGGGACTGTCGTGGTTTAACCCCAGCCGGCGACTAAGCACCACTCAGCCACTTGCTCACTCCCCCCCCACTCCCCAGTGGGATGGAGGAGAGAATCGGAAGGGTAAAAGTGAGAAAACCTGTGGGTTGAGATAAAGACAGTTTAATAGGTAAAACAAAAGCCGCGCACGCAAGACAAATGCCATCACTCCAAACGTCCCCCCCCTTCCTTCTTCTTCCCCCAGCTTTATATGCTGAGCATGACGTCATATGGTATGGAATGTCCTTTTGGTCAGTTGGGGTCAGCTGTCCCGGCTGTGTCCCCTCCCAGCTTCTTGTGCACCCCCAGCCTAGTCGCTGGTGGGGTGGTGTGAGAAGCAGAAAAGGCCTTGATTCTGTGTAAAACATCCTTGTATTATCAACACTGTTTTCAGCACAAATCCAAAACATAGCCCCCTAGTAGTTACTGTGAAGAAAATTAACTCTATCCCAGATAAACCAGCACAGGATCATACTTGCAGAAAACATCTGTAATGGGTTTCGCCAAGAGAAAAACTACGTAATTGGTATGTCATAAGAAAAAAAAAAAAACAGTACTCTGACCTTGCTAGGGAGTTAGCCTGATAAGGCAACAAGGATGTTCCACAGAGATAGACCGGAATGAAACATCTGCCAAAATGCAGCAGGTCTGCAGACGTGTGTATCGGCAGTAGGTCAGTGGTTCTGGTTCACCTCAGCTGAACTATTTCATCCAAACTGGGTAGCAGCCAGAGAGACTCTGACCTGCTTAAGGATACAAAGTCATTTAGGTTCTTAACTTTCATCCCACTCCCTGGGACCAGTGGAGTTTATTTCTCGTGTAGTCTCTTAAATGGAGATTCTCTGAGAGTCATTAAGGTGCTGTACTGAGTCCCTGATCAGCCTTCAATCCTCACATTTCACACCGTCTGAGCTGACAATGACTTTGTAAGAACTGAGTTGGAAGCTTTAAAATTCTCTTAAAAGTAACAATTGGTTTAATTTCTGATGGTAACAGCTATAATACTAATCTCGGTGACTGCTTACAGTACTGAAAATTGTGTATTGGACATGGTGCTTATGCTAAGTTGAGATCTAGTGAAGGATGAACAAACTTAAGGTGTGAGCATTGCCTCTAAGTACACAGTAGTCCCTCATGCCTCAGTAAATGAACAAATATGTCGGCTGGGAAGAGTAGTCATGGTGACATCTGGCACACAGCTTCATTACATCCCAAAAATAAACTTTTCCAAGTGGCCCTAGCTGATAACAGCTGACTAGTTTCTCCTGGTTTTGCACTAAAAACGCCTCTAGAGGAGGAATTTGGAAGAAAGGAAGGAACTTGCCATGATTCTTAAACACACAATCCATCTCAAATTTCTGCTCAGAAGTTGCATGTTAAAAAACAAGTCGATGTAAGTAAAGAAGTGTAACTTTTGGGGTCTGTAAAGAAATGAAGGCCTGAAACATGCAGGACTGATCTCAAGCCGTCTCATCTTCCTTTCCAGTTCCTGGAAGCACTAGAACTATGCTCAAGTCACCTGCTTATGCAGGCTTTGCAGCTTCTGGTGATCCCATTTCTCCAGTGAGAGAAATGACTTAATGATCACGCACCCTCTGGGACCTCTGACGTTCTAGTCAAGCAGGGCACAAAAGTGCCTGTGACACATGGGCAGGTGTCTGAATACTATAAGCAATGAGTTTCCCGATTTATGATTTAGAAGGGTCAGCACATTGCTTACGCTATACTCTATTGTGGACCTTCAATCCATGACTGTATACTGACAACATGCAATATTATTCTGGCATAGCTAATGTTACATCTTCACAGCTGGGAAGCCTAAAAATAGCCCAGTGGCAGTGACTTGGATTAGAAGTTGTGCCTTAAGTATAGCAGACCTGCATGTTTCTTCCTCAGTTTACCTGCTGAGGCAGAAGTGTAGGAAAAGAGCAACAGTGGCACAACTTTCAGAGTAACTCACTGCCAACCAAGCAGTGCTAATGGACTGGCTGTTGAATAACAAATACAACAAAATAAATGGGTCTGTTTGCAGCGAGTCATAATTCAAGACAGTTGAAGCTTCCTCATTAATATTTACAATTATAGGAAGAATTGGGCAATGTATTTGATTACAAGTACTGAAAGCCTCCCAAGGGGTGCTAGTTCCAAGTCAATAGAGTATTTTCATTTCCCTAGGTCTCCTCATAATTTTGAAGTTCTACTACAACTGAATATCTGCAAAGGTGTCAGATTTACTTGGGACTCCGTCTTGGATTTCAGTATGATCTCTAGCTCAGCAGCAATGAAGGAAAAGGAAATAATTAAGAGACTCATCCACCAGCAAAAATTACCAGTACATTTAGTAATGTCTCTAGAGCCTTACACCATAGCTGCAATTCACTTCTGTCAGGTTCTACAGCTAAAATATGATATTTTAACATTCTTGTTATGGAATAAATTAATTGCTAATTGACTTCTTCCTTTTATAAGCTCATCATACACATGATCAGAAAATACTGATACAGTGCCTACTGCTGTGAGAATTTCCCATTTGAATTTCAGGTTTTAGGTGAATTCTGAAAAGTTTTCTGGGCAACTTATATAGAGAACACATTGTAAGTATGTTACAAAATCTTCTTTTGGGCTCTTCAGGCTTTCTTGACCAAAGTCACTTCCTGTGGTTTTACAACTCTGAGAAGTCACTGTTCACTTCTATCTTTTAAAGTGAGTGAAACGATATACTTGCCCTTACAGCAGACTATAATATAAAGTGTTTAATATGATAAAATAAGTACCCTTAATGAGACACTCCTTTGCTATAAAGGTCCTAAAATAAGGTGCATTATTATAATTTAACAGTTATCAGCACCATTTGCTTCACTCATATGTGGAAGGTCAGGTCCCACGATACAAGAGTGGATGAACCTGAATTCGTAGTTTTATTTCTAGTGACACTTTTATCATAATGAATTTTTGCTTTTATTTAAAGTTATGGAAATTTTAAAGATGAATGTCTACAAGTACTTGAACTTTCACCATTATTAACAGACAGTGGACATGAGAACTAAGAAAGCAACTGCAAGAATTGAGGGAGAAGAGAAACTAAGTAACAACTGGAAGAGGAAGTTCACTGTTCGCTTTCTACACACAAGTCCAAGAAAACAGTCCGAAAGGCTGCAAGGAAACAAGACAAGAAGGCATCCTTTTATCTAAGAGAAAACCATGGAATTACAACAAACAAAAAAGTGTTCATAAACGTGGCAATGACAACTTGTGAATTTTCTTTCCGTACACCATTTGTACCAACTAGCAACTGTGAAATATGAAGGGGATTCACTTTGGGAATTGACTGAGCCTTTAGAAGTGTATTCTGGAATATAACAGCTGTCACACAGCCCAAGAAATTCGAAGGCTGTACCATAAGAACTGAAATAGAAGATTTGGGGGTAATTGCTTAGGAAGAGGGTTTTTCTAAGCATGCTTAGTAACATCTAAGCATATCTAATAAAATTAACAAGGAAGTAAAACAAAGTCAGGTTCTAAAGTTATCATAAAGTTTTTAACATCATTTCTCTGTTAAAACATCATTGTAAGAGAAAATTGTATAGGTCACAGGCATAATTACAACCTAAACCAAGAGTTATGTCTAGAAAGCTCCACCTATTAGTAAAGAGATCTTCTAAGAGCAGAGAAGAAAGCATTTTCTTCTGTGGACATACACTGGTCACACAAATTGCACCTAGATTATTTTTGTTTAAAAAGTTAAACTTTTGTTTTACATCCTTACTGTGCTAACGAATATAGATGGGATATCATTTTAAGAAATCCTATTTTTTCTTTCAGATTTCTAGTTTTTCACTGATACGGGCAGAAGCTTTCTACTACATATTCTCGTATGCACACACATAATGTAACAAATATACATTTGGGAGGAAGAG